ATGCAAAGCGACTGGCCGCCCGGACGACTCCGGGAGAGGTCTCCTCCGAGTCTCTGATCCTGACAAAGATGAAGGAGATCGCGCAGTCTTACCTCAGCTCCCTAGTCACCTCCGCCGTGATCAGGATCCCCGCGCAATCCAACCTGTCCTAACGGCAGGCTACCAAGGATGCGGGCACTATGGCGGGGCTGAAGGTGCTCCGTGTCCCCAGCGAAGAAGTCCGCAAGGCGCGGCTCCTCCCCTACTCTCGGCCACCTCGCGCATTTGCCTGTTGCCGTACCTCCTGATCCATCCCTAGCGAGGCGTTTTGGAGTATACAATGCGCGACACCGGAGAAGGCTGCATAGCACAGGGTACAGCGTGTTGGATGTACGAGGTCGACGAGCGAGCGCTTATCATCTGTATCATCTGTATTCGGTACATCTAAGAGCGGATGCATCCGTCGAAGGTTACCCCAACCATACGGATGCATCCGTTATACTGAGAATCTACTTTATCTGACGGGCGCTTGCCATACTGAACTGCGCGTATCGTATCAGCAGACGGCCGTACCGTTTCTCCGCATGTACGGTACGGCTTCGAGCCCTACAGGCACATCTGCACAACCACAGATGTATTCGTTCAAGCGCCCGAGGACTCAGGGCTGAAACACGGGAGGCAATCGGAAATTTTTGGTTGGAGAAAAGTCGATGAATTGGGGACGCAAAAGCGAATAGCCCGTCGTTGTTCAATGACTTTTGTCCAGAAATGCCACATATTTACCGATTGTTTACCTCGTGTTCTGCAGCTGGAGATATCCGAATCCCTGCCGGGTGAGGATTCGAACCCATGATACCTAATAGGTAAAGACGCCCCATTAGACGACCCATCAGAAAACGACATTGACCCAGGATACTTGCCGTAATTTGTCCTTATGATTTCCGTTGTGCTTGGATCTGCTGAGAGTTTGAGTGTTAGAGGCATGCGGACAACCAAGGGTCTCGCTTTCCGTTTAGGTTGCACACAGCGTTTCCAGGCTATATCTGGTTTACACAGTGTGCGAACACATGGTCATCAGACATTAAAAACATATCTTGTCTACGTTACACACGGCGGCGCAGACAGCTTGGGTACCCGCGATCCAAAAGCTTGCGACAAGTGACCGTATGACTGGTAGCGGCGCCTCGATCCCGAGCTGGTACTTGCAGGTTTCTTCAGATCCGGGGTAAATATCAGAAGATAATAGAGTGTATTTGCACGGTGATTTATGGAGGTGGCGCTGGTGAAAACGGTGCGCCACCGGATGTAAACCGTGGCGGATTCCTCACCGTACGGCCGCTAGCGCCGGCCCCACCTGGTGAGAACTCAATGGGGGCGGATAATGAAAACGCTGATAATTATCTGTGCAAATACACTCTAATGATTATCATAATAATAAAGCCTCCGTCCCCAGCTGCGTACACGGCCTCAGTCCTCCTACCAAGCATGTGTCAACAGCAATTGTTGTTTCAGCCGCGGTCCCCCCCAGGGTGCTATCGCTGTCAGCACGCTACAGCGCCCGCTCCTAGCTCCATCACATCAGCGTAGGAGCAACCTGCACCATTAGTCCTTGAGCTGATTGCCAGCGGCACACATAATTCACCAGCTTTATGGCCATTTTGCTGAGGCCCATCCCATTTCGTTCCTTGTTCAACTCTCCAACGTCTACTCCACCTCTCCAACGTCTACTCCACCACCTCTCGCCATGGTCTTCCAATCTCACCCTGATGCGCACATGGTTGACGCAGCAGACATCGATGCGGACATGAACGACGACTCGAAGACCATCACTCACTCCGCTGACGCATCAATCAACCTGGAGGATGCGGTTGCGAGGCTGGAGCGGTGTGAGAGCGAAAATGCCTCCCTCCGTCATGAGAGATGAGCCACGTCGCACCTAGGAGGAGAGTCCCGCATCACCCCCTTGCTCACCCGGGTACGTATCCTCACCGGGAATCTCCTAGATGGCTGTCGCTGCAGTTTCTCAGACTGTCCGTACTCCAGCCCGCACGGGCCTTACTTGTACGTACTCGTTTTGATAGGTTTCAGCCGCTAAGCTACCTTTCTCTCTCAGCTATCCTTGTTGGGTACCGCATCTGCGACGGATGCCTCCGCGACAACCCTCAGGCGCACCTCCCCGCTGGCGGCAGTGCACCTCCCCCCGCCTAACCAACGTATGGCGTATTCCTTCGTGTTGGCGGCATGCCGTCGCAATTGCATGGCTCCCGCGAGTTTCAGGAGGCGCCCTTGGAGCCGAGGAACTTGTAATCACTTTCTGTTCTTCATTTGCATCGCCAAAAATCTGCAATGAATGACACGCATTACGCATGGATGAGGTAGATTGCGAGTACTACGGATACTTGTGCTAGGTTGGTACCACCTGGGGCGAGACCGCGATCTCCCTCTCACCACCCAACTCCGACAATGTTATGCAAGGTACTGAACACCAGGCACTATTTACGCCTGGTTGAGATGTACTGCGCGGTATCATGAACACCGCCCCATCTCGCAATCCCGACAATCCCGTGGAACGCAATTGGGCGTCGCGCTCGATTGCCGTCATTGCACGCTCGTGCCGCACTGACAATACTCGCAAATATCAGGGATATAATGTCCATATTGCCAGGTATTTCACAATATTGCCCAGTCTGCCAACCAAGTCGGATCTATTGCGCTGGTATGGAAACACGACAGAGTGCTTCCAGGATTTTTCGCCAGGCACAGGATGTTGCCCAGTTTGCCCGAGAAGGCACGGACAGGTAAGGTACAGCAACACTTTCACACTTTTGCTGATGTGCACGCAGATGTATTTCCCGCTGGCCCAAACAGGCTCGGAGACACACTTGGAAATGTACTCCAGTCACGGTAACGTCCCAAAGCCTACTTAGCTCCGGACCCGAGCCATTGGCCAATGCCTGTCGTGAATTCTTGAATCTCCCAGTCTGCTTACTCCTTGATGTTGTAGGTGGCCGAGCCTCGACGAGGCCGTGCGCGAAGTCCAGGGCGTCCCTCCGATGATTTCCTGGCCTTCGGTATCTGTTACCGGCACGGCCCAAGTACAGGCCCCAAAATACGGTGCGCAGCAACTTCCACACTCCTCGAGGGAGGGAAACACTGCCCGTATGAGGAGGATACAACAGCCAGCCTGTTATCAAATACGCCGACATCAGATCAGGTGATATTCACAGAAGCCGGGTTGAATAGATATAGCGTAAGTGTGTGCTGCAGGTGACCCTGCGGCAAGGAGTTACCCCAGCTCCATATCCTACTTTCCCACGCCGCTGGTGTGCTGCAGCCCACGTCTTCTCCCACCCTACAAACGGTCGGGTCGGTCTTATCACCATGTCTCGTCTCCTCCCCTATCTCTTCTCTACCCTTCATCACATCTACCAGCTCTTCATGGCAAACACCCATCCCCAACTCTTCGCGATCTACATCGAGCCACCCGACGGACCCGATACAGGTAGCGGCGGCCTCGAATCACTCAGCTACCGTTCCGCGTATTGCTTCTATGTGAACAATACCGGAGCCCATGAATTGGTCCTATCGCGCATCGACTATTGCAAGATGGTACAAGGCGTTCGCCATGAATTTGTGCTAACGCACCTCGCGTCACCACTCGGAGCCGTAGGTCTGATCATCTGGGAGCGTCAAGGCTTCCACCCGCGCAATGAGAAGACGGACGACCTTCCCTCCCCCGCCCCCGCCCCCGCCCCCTCCCCCTCCCCCTCCCCCTCCCCCCTTGTTCACCTCCAATGCGCCAGCCCGTCTCTCCGAGATGTTGGACGGCCTCAAGGGGACGGAACTCGCAATTGACCGTGCTGTTTGCATCGACGGCATCAGCACCTCTCCCTTCAGGCTTGCCCCATACGACGTGCTTGCGAGTGTTACCCCATCACCTCCCATTGCGTTCCACAAGGCTCTCGCCGCCTTCAAAGTCGTTTCCCGCTCTAAGCCTTACTACGACACGCGCTTGGCCAATTGCTATGTATTTGGTCTCACCTTCTTCAGGCTCCTCGTCGGGCCGGACGTATGGGAGCGGGAGGTTATGAAGGGTGCGTTCACGGAGAGCGCGGGAGTGTTTCACCTCCCACCCGTCAGCATCAACGTCTTGGACCGTTCCGTCAATGGGGCATCCGAGCTGCAGGGCGAGTTTGAAAAAGAGGTGAAGGCGCTCGAGGCGAAGGCAGCGATGAGCAAGCGCCAGAGCACAGCGCTCCAGGTGCTCACAGAACAGGGGGTCTATTGTAAGTCTATCATTCGTCTACAGTATGGCTAGGCCTGATATGTTTTCAGCGGGAAGCACCTCCGGTCAATCGGCCCAACTCAATCTCCCTGACGTTGGGATGAGGATGGTCAGTACAGACTTGGAGATATCGGCCTACTACTATTACTAACCCCCAAGATATCCCGCAGTCGTCGACCTCGACGTGACCATGCAGCGACGCGCTGCGCTTGCTGTGTTCCCACCGAGCATAGATAGATGGGTCCAATCATATACCAAGCGACAACGAAGGACGAGAGAACATAGGCAGCTGTTGTACTAGAGTGGTGTGGCGACAATGGGACATGGACGAACGATGCGGCGATAGTAGCTTGGACGGGGTCCATAGGCGAAAGGAAAGCGGGGGCGGAACGGAAGGCGGGCGAAGTCTACAACCATCATGGCAGCGTAGCAGTGAACGTTGCCGCCCCCTCCCCCGGCGATGGGCGCGCTCTTCATCATAATCATGACACCCATGCTCATGCCCAGTGAAAACGTGCCCGATTCGGGTCGCTTTCGGTCGAATTCGATCGTATGTACTCGTGCAACCCGACATTTTACGACCATCCGGACTATATACGACGGCCGTCGTATTCAGCGGTATCAGGTAGTGTGGAGGATCCGATAGAATACTAATGCTGTCGATTTGGGTCGAAAGCGATCATTTACAGTCGGCCATATTCGGGCTCGTCAGTTAGGGCGGCATCCACAGCAGGCACGCCATTGGATAGCATTGGCGACAATTCTGTATTCATTCGTATGGGCTCGGCAATAATACACGGTACAATACAGGTGTAATCAGGCGGAAATGTGTGCAATCGTATACCACCGCGCGCGTTTGGATCTTCTTGGGTGCACCCGATTGGGGTCGGGTCCTCCTGCCCCAGTGCGGACTAGCTACTGCCGCGTGCTTAGGAACGTCGCGCGCCACATACTTGAAGTCGTCCCGGTGTTGGGCGCAGATAGGCAGAATCGGCAGAGGGGAATGCATTGGAAGAGCGACAGCAGAGCCTTGTAGAGCGCAGATAACCAGAGTCGCAACAGAGGAATGGTGCCAGGGATTTGAAGAGCGACAGCAGAGGCTTGTAGAATGCAGACCACCCACTCAGTCGACAGGGCCAGAGCCTACCTCGCGATTCTTGGACGGGAGCAGCTTTGGCATGAAGAGACGATGCGAGATCAAGCTCATCCACGAGAAGACAAAGCCGGGGAGGTACGTGGGTTGCAGCAGGAGGACTAGCTTGAGGACAGACGAGTGGCGATGTGAGGCGACAACCAGTCTGAGAGTCTGGCAGGCGATTCGAGAGGGAGACAAAAACCGGGGATGCAGGTGTTCGCTACCATGGACTGAGATTGATGTGGTGGGAGGGCAGCGTAGAGGAGGTCGTATGGATCACTTTGCTGCGATGCGGCCGGTGTTCTGTGTGAAGTGTAGTCAGCTTATGTAAAGGGCCACGAGCAAGACAGAAGTACTCTTCTATCGGAGGGGGTCATGGACTTGTAATGTTGTTTGAACTCTGCCTGTGATCCGTTGGTGTCCGCGTACCAGTTGCGAGCATACGCCCACCTAACAAGACCCGACTGAGGTTTAGATATCACTGTAAAGCAATGAATAACGTACTTCGCTCCACGCAAATCGGCCGGTGGTGGCCATTGCGGTGTCTTCCGAGGAGCCCGAGGTTTTTTGGTGGTGGTCGGTTGTGCGGTGGTTGGGGGTATTTGCGAGGCATCGAGAGGTGTGCTGGATTCTCCAGTGTCGACGGCGTCCAGGCAGGCTGGGGTGATGGGCTGCATGTTAGGAGCGCCGTCAGAGCGCATGCTAAGAGAGTTGAGAGTGAGAAGAGGATGCTTCAGCGCGCACATTTTTTATCATGAGGCACAGAACCAGGCATTACCTGAAGCAGCTGCGAATGCCAGGCAGAACCTGGATGGATGAGCTGGGAAGGGAGTGAAAACGACGTTGCATAGTGTATCATCCAGGATTGCATGCGGCCTTCTGTCCAGCAAATTGTGAGTAACGTCTCTGTGTTGTAGTCTTCACATACAAGAATGGCAGGCGCATACAATGGGGAAATGGTGTGGGACACGTACCACCAAGATACATCAGTGATAGAGCTCACCTGAGATAATGTCGCAACGGCGACAGCACCATACACGAAACTCACCTTGTAGCTTTCCAAACTCCAACATACCTTCATGACGCTGTAGAAGGGTGTGTGTGCACTACAATTGACCAAGGGAGGGGTGCATACCATACTGGCAGGAGAAGAGGGTTGGGGAACAAGGGGGACAGCGGTGGTCTGCCGCAAGCAGCGACTCCACCGCAATGATGTCATCATGTTTAGGGCAGGCCTACACTGTCAGAGAACAGAGACTTCGCGTCTCTGGACCTTGCAGTATTGTAGGCAATCACAATAGAGTTGTTTTGGAGGTAGCATCATGACATGGTCCCTTAGTGAGAAAAATGGCACATGGATTGTAGATCGCTGGCTCAGTTGTGTGATGGGAGCAAGCACCAATAGGAAGCAGAAATCTTACATGGCGGAGAGAGATTGGAGCATGCAACACTAGAGACAAGCACAAGCTAAGCTAAGACACTAAGGAGCGGCAAGCTAAGGCAGTACGGAGTGACAAAGTTAAGGCATTACGGAGCGACAGCTATAGTGATACCGGCAGACGTCATGTCCTTAGAGACATGTGTGTCCGAATTCACAAACATTAGATGGGCGCTAAACACTGCCGTCCGACCTAAATCGACACAACGCGAGTATTTACAGTGGGCACGACCTCGCACAACCCTAATCGAACTGAGTCAAGCACGTTTTCACTGGGGCTCATGTCCCACCCGCGCGCCACCGGGGCCGGCCATCGCCCCGGGATAGCTGCGCCATGCATGGCGCCTGGCATCTCAAAGTCGCCCACGTCGCTTGTGGGGCTGGCGTGGGCGCTGCCGGCGCCGTTGATGCTGCCGCTGCGCCCCGAACATCTGCGCGATGCCCCCACGCCGCCCTGTCATCGTGACCGATCTGCACGCGGCCGTTCATCTGCTGAATGTACCGGCCCATGAATGGCCCATGAACTGAGCGTGCATCCCGCTCGCTGCGTGGAGATGCCGATCGTACCTCGTGATAGGATTCTCGAACGAAACCGCGCCGGGGCTCTGGACAATCATGGGCATATGCGGGCTAAAGGTTGCGGGATGCGGAAGGATCGTCGGGACATGGAGATATGCGCACTGGGGGATGTTGTGCGCGAAGGGGTCGCCTGCGCCGGCATGAGAAAGGGAGGGGTTGCACAAAGGGGCGGGGCAGGGCCAGCGACGCCGCCATCGCAACAGTCGTTGTCGACGTAATTGTCATCCGATCCATCCTCTTCATTCAGGCCTGCATTCGGCGCCTGAGAATCGCATGGAAGCCCTCGCCACGGATGGGTTCTTCCACGCGGGGGCAGAGGGAGGGATCGCGCAATTCGCTGAGTCTGCGACAGAGGGCGTCTGACTCGAGCTTGAGGAGACGGAGCGGAGCGTGTGGATGTGGGCATTGGAGGAGCTGACCATTGGGAGCTTGGAGGGACGGCGGATCTGGGAGAGGTTGGGAAGGGTCGCAGCCAGATCCTGCGGGGTGTTAGGGGGCGACAATCGGCTGAGGAGAAAAGTTGATCCGTACCGGAAAAAAGACCGCTGGGGGTCTTACGGAGAGCGCAGTCAACGGCATTGCAGGTCGCCCTGCGATCGGTGGTGTTGGCGCGCCTGCTGGGCCTGCGCTTGGACAGAGCATGGAGTGGAGGCAGCACCCTCAATACGCGGGGGAGGGCGAGAGCCTGAACGGAGCTGGAGAGTGAGGCGGGGGCCTGACGGTGGTTGATGGAGGTGGGACACTTGCCAGCGGGGGACGAGCCGGGGATGGTGAAGGGGAGGGTCGTTGCGATGATGTTCGGTGGATGCAGGCGCGGATGTTGGGCGATAAGCAGGGTGGGCAGTGGGGGCGGTCAATGTCGAGGTGTTTTACGGTGGGAGATCGTGCCGGAGGGCGGAGGCGGAGGGCGGCGGGACGGGAGCAGGGGGGCCCGTAATGGAATCAGCGGAATCCGAAGGTGGCTCAAGGGCAGGGAGGGGGGAAGCATGTTCGGCAGCCGATGGTGGGGAGCGGCGGGATCACTAGTCACGAGTGATGCTCAAGCGTACTAGCAGCGGGAGGAGGTCGCTAGAGGGGCTTGTCAGTCTACTTTCCGGGGAGGGGGGGAGAGGTTGGGAGGGGTTGCGAGGCCTGGAAAGGCAGCTGATGGGGTCAACAGGGTGTTCAGAATGGCTCAGAATGAGAGAGGGGGGACACACTCCGGACGGCGCCATTGTCACGGCGAGGGCTTGGCGGAGAGAAGGAGCAGGAGAGGGACGGGGAAGAGATTGGGGGCGGAGGCTTGAGACAATGAGCATGCGACGAGGAGGGGCGACCGCTGTGATGGCGTGCGAGCGACGTTCGATATGCAGCGGGCGCGCAGGTGATTGATGGCGCAGAGGCATCGTGGTAGAGAAAGAAGGCGGAGCAGAGCAGCAGTACCGTACGGTCCTCGCGCAGCCGGCGTATGCAATGGCGAGTTGATGTGTGCACGTGAGACGTTGCCGGGCATCGCCATACAGCGCTTTTCACATCACCCGTCGTTTGGGCGCCGACAAATGCGCGCGCCACACCTGCGCCCGACGCCCACCGATGCCCCCCCTGCGGACCTTCAACCGACCATCCTCCTCGTCTGCTGCACCAATTTGTTTGCCCGTTGCCGATTCTGATCCTTTGGGCCTCCCTGCACATGCGCATAATGAACTCGTCGCGGGCTTCGATGCCCTCCCTATGCCAGACCCACTTCGCGCCTCACGCACTGGGTCTGGAGCGTCGGTAGATCTCATGGGAGGGCGCATCAGGATGGCGACGGGCCTGTCAAGGCGACGCTGGGTCCTTTTCGCTTTCGAACAGCGGGGTCACCGGAAGGCCGTCCTGCTCTGCGCAGGCGGGGTCCTGCACTTGATCTGCCAGTGCAGCCTCGGTGCGCGCGCGAAGGTCGAAGTCCGCAGGAGCCTCGATGGGTATGCCGAAGGGAGCGACGGCAGCCCAGGGGGAGAACGAAGTGCCGCTCCGCGTCTGTTGGGGATGCACAGTTAGTGGCCACGGCTGAGGAGTGGGGGAGAAAGCTTACCTGGCGGAACCCGGAGAGGCTTGGAGCGATGAAGCCTGCCGCGCCAGAGGGAATGAGGGACCTTGCTAGGACAACACCAAACGCGCCGCGACGGGGAGACGGGAAACAAGGGGTTTGCACGCGCTCCCCCCATCACGACGCCAAAAAGGCCTCTCACCTGGGGGGGGACATGCTCTCGCAGGAGGCGTGGCGCGCGGGACTGCACTTGGGACGGGTGGCTATATGGTGGCGAGCGTAGGCGACCCTTGAGGAGATACGCGGCGAGACAATGGGGATAAGGAGGCCTGGTACTCGGCGTATATTGGGCACACACTACGCGACGAGGACGCAGAGCCCTTTGTGGAGAGCTGGGATGAACCCACCCCAGGAGAGCGACGGGCAAGGCGCGACAGGATGGGGGTGGTGGAACATAGCAGCAACGAGAGATGTACGGGGGTCAAGCAGGAGGAGGGCGCTCGTGAATCGTGATGAGGCTCGGTGGCACTTCGAACCGTGCATGTGACCTCTTATCGCCTGATGACCAACGTCTCGGAACAAACCATAGACGCGCGCAAGCGACGTGAAAAAAAAAGAATCGTCGCAGGCCACAGAAAACTACAACACCAGGGCTCGAGCCCTCAGCCGCACGAGAACAAGCGCCAACGGACATGAGCAACCACTTCACCACAGTAGCTCCATTAGGATCGGCCAAGCATATTGATATACAGTGATACACCACTTCTTTTGACAGAAAAAACATGTGACTCAGATGATAAACTCGGGGCTGTGAAGACAAAGATTAGATCCGACTAGAGTCGAAGCAAGATCTTCAGTCAGTAAGGAAAGACTATATTGCAGTAACCAACTGTACCTAGAGTCGAAGCAAGACTACAAAGGTTAAGTAAGTAACTACAAGTTAGAGATAGATGTAACCAAGTACTCACTCTTCAGTCAGTAAGGAAAGACTGAAGAGGGAGGACGCAATCTGAAGTCCTTATATACTACAGAGAAGAGTCCATGACTAATCGAAGAGTGGTTAGTCACATGTACCATAGTGCGATGAATAATACAACGACGAAAGAATTGCGACGTATCGCACCATAGGATGAGTAAGAGAT